TGTAGGGTGAGACTTGCCAACTTTGCATAATCAACTTTATATATATATATATAACGAAAATGCGACCGTGTCCCCACTCACGTAGACGCAACAAAAGATACCTGAAATTGAAATTTCCTTTATTTTATTGATAAACAATCAATCCGTGTGAGATGGAATATTCAGGCACAGCAAAATGTCTTAAAAACACAACTTAACGAAGGCTACAGGAAGAAACCCGAAGCCGAATCAATCAACGAAACAGATTCAACGGAGACTCTTGAACATTTTAGCCTTTTCTTGTACGGTAACATCCACCATTAAAAAACGACCGACTAATAAACGTTGGACCATATCTTATTGTCATTGAAATTTCCTATAACAATTTGTTGAAAATATCATAACACGATAATAAATACGATAACCACAAGTTTAGAAATGACTAGGAATGCGCTGTTGACTGACCTCGTGAATCAACGGTGTTTGAAACCATACTAATTAAGTATTTCGTATACATGTTTCAAAGCTGAGAATTAATATATATACAACACGTCTTATTTGAATAAATATATACGCCGGCCATTTATACACACGTCTATATTTTATTTAGATACGCTACTATAACGGCCACGTCCTCGAAGCATCCAGATTTCCGACCGTAAGCCAACTATATATTAGTATTTATATTGATATTAAAGTAAGTCTTACGCTGCCATGGAACCCAACAAGAAGCAAGCAAGCAAGTGGGTTTCTCCTTCGTTTCTTGTCACATTCCTTCAAGGAAACCCTATATATAAATCCCTCTTATCTTCACGTTCGACCCAAGAATCATTCACCCTGGTGCTCGACAATAAGACCTATTCATATACATATATATATATATATATACACGACACACACACACACACACACGAATACACGTTTATTACATGTATCCAATGTCCCGACGTCTGGAGATCACGGTAATATCGGCGGAGGATCTCCGCGTAAACAGGAGACCGATCTCCGCGCGGAGAAACACGTTCGCGGTCGTGAAGACCGTTCCGTTCAACGTCCGGAAAACGAAGGCCGACGAATGCGGCGGAACTCATCCGAAGTGGAACGACAAGTTCGAGGTGGAGATGCCCATGAACGGGAGATCCCAGTTTGTGTCCGTCGAGGTATGCTATCGGACAGGTTCTGGGTCTGAGAAGCAAGTAGGGTTTGCGAGGATTCCGGTTACGGATTTCATGGGAGGGTATTATCCCGAAGGCCATTTGAACTTTCTGAGTTACAGACTGAGAGATGAGTATGGAGACAAGAGCGGGGTCGTCAATGTTTCGATCAGAGTAGAACCTGATTCGAGATTCGGACAGCAAAAGACGGCGGAGAAGAAGCCGACGGTTGACTTTAGCGCGTGCTCGTCACACGCGGTGGGGTTTTGGAGACCGGAGAAGACGATCGGGACGGCCGTTTCCGGCGGACAGATAGTCACCGGCGTTCCTATATGGTGTGGGTATCAACCACGTAATTGATTATTTTTGTGTCGTTTTCTAGGTTTCGAAAATTCGAAATCTAAAACACGAAAAACTGCTACGAGAAATTCAAAACCATATATTCTTTGGACCATGCGTTGATCAGTTTCTATAGAGCATCTTAAAGCCATAAAAATGGTGACGAAGACCAGATCTTACCGTTTATTCATGTAAAAAAAAAAAGGAAATAATATGTACACCAAACTTTCGAAATTTCCGCTCCGATTATATTGGTATAAAAATAAATATATAAATAACAAGAATCAGCGGCGGCCTAGTGGTTGTAACAACCGTGTAGAATGGTCAATTGCTGGGTTCGAACCGCGAGCCGTGAGGATAACAGGTCGTTACCGTGATGAAAGGGTCATCACAATTCGTTTCACCAAAGAACGAGTCCAACGGCCATCCGAGCTCTTTTTTTTTTTTAATTTCTTTTTTCACTTTGAAACAAGTGGCCAAATTCAGAAGTTACGATTAATCACATCTGGTAACTGCATTACGAGGTAATTAAGTTTAATATATAGTACATGTACATGGGATTCTCAAATGATATTTAATTGGATCGGCTGTGTCTTTTTCCCTTTTACAGAAAAATTTAATGTGTTTATATTAATTACTTGATGGTTATGAGCTATTAATGAATTTTAAAAGAGCACGTTTTTTTTTTTTATAAATTAAAAGGACACGTTTAATACCCATGTTTTCTTAAACGGCCTTAAAAAACATTTGACAATTTTATTTTATTTTTGCTAACGCTCAATCGTTTATTTAGATCTCGAACTCGTGCATTTTGCTCGCCAGGTTATGCGCAGATTTAATTTCCGAAGCCATAGGGGCTTTCCTCTGAAATCGTTTGAAGATCACATCCATAGCTATGCTGGCCGAGCGAAGCTTGATTCGAATCTGGTGTTGACAGAGTTCTCCAAATCGGGTCGGGTCGATGAAGCCCGTCAACTGTTCGATAAAATGCCCGAGAGGGATGAGTTTTCCTGGAACACCATGATCGCTGCTTATTCGAATTCTGGGCGACTCGTCGAAGCAATACAGCTTTTTGATCGGAACCCGGTGAAGAGTACGATCTCGTGGAATGCCCTCATTTCTGGGTATTGCCTATATGGACGTGAGACCGAAGCCTTCGAGTTGTTCTGGGGAATGCAGCTCGATGGAAGATACCCTAATCAGTTTACCCTGGGCAGTGTGCTTAGGATGTGTTCTTCGATGGTTTTGCTTCCGAGAGGTGAGGAGATTCATGGGTACACGATAAAAACCGGATTAGATATGAACGATTTTGTCGTCACTGGTCTTCTTGATATGTACGCCAAATGCAAATGTATCTCTGAAGCCGAGTATCTCTTTGCTACAATGTCTGGTGACAAAAATCACGTTACTTGGACTTCAATGCTCACCGGCTACTCGCAAAATGGGTCTGCTTTCAGGGCTATTGGGTGTTTTAGGGATATGAGAAGGGAAGGAATTCAGGCGAATCAGTTCACTTTCCCTAGCGTGTTAACAGCTTGTGCAGCAGTTTCAGTTCGCGAGATAGGAGCTCAGGTACATGGTTGTATAATTAAGAGTGGGTTTGGGACAAATATTTTCGTTCAGAGTGCATTGATCGACATGTATGCTAAATGCAGAGACTTGGATACCGCAAGAGTCCTGTTAGAGGGTATGGAGGTTGATGATGTGGTTTCTTGGAACTCCATGATTGTAGGGTGTGTTAGGCAGGGCCTTGAAGAGGAAGCCCTGTCCTTGTTCGAAATGATGCATAAACGAGATATGAAGATTGATGATTTCACGATCCCATCCATTTTAAATTGTTTTGCTTCTTCGAGGATGGAGATGAAGATTGCAGCTTCTGTCCATTGTTTGATTGTAAAAATAGGGTATGGTGCTTCCAAGCTCGTGAATAACGCCCTTGTCGATATGTATGCCAAAAGGGGAATCATGGATTTGGCATTCAAGGTGTTTGAACATATGCCAGGGAGGGATGTCATCTCTTGGACAGCTCTTGTCACTGGTTATACGCATAACGGGTCTTATGAAGAAGCTTTGAAGTTATTCTGTAACATGAGAATTGCAAGCATTCGCCCTGATCAGATCGTTATTGCCAGCGTATTACGTGCCTCAGCTGAGTTAACTCTGTTGGAGTTTGGGCAACAGGTACACGGAAATTATATTAAATCTGGCCTTCCATCGTCTCTGTCTGTAGGTAACTCTCTCGTGACAATGTACACCGAGTGTGGAAGCATAGAGGATGCAAATAGAATCTTTAACTCCATGGAAGTACGAGATGTGATCACTTGGACTGCTTTAATAGTGGGTTATGCCAAAAACGGGAAAGCAAAGGACTCGCTACGATTTTATGATCAGATGATAGGCAGTGGTATAACACCCGACTTCATTACCTTTATTGGCTTACTTTTTGCTTGCAGCCATGCTGGTTTCACCGAAGAGGCTCAACGTTACTTCGATTCAATGAAAAAAGATTATGGAATTATACCCGGGCCTGAACACTACGCATGTATGATTGACCTCTTTGGCCGCTCTGGTGATCTAGTTAAAGCTGATGAGTTGCTGAATCAAATGGAGGTTGAACCTGACGCGACTGTATGGAAAGCCATCTTGGCTGCTAGTAGGATTCACGGGAACATAGAACAAGGGGAGAGAGCAGCGAAAACTCTCATGGAATTGGAGCCAAGCAATGCTGTTCCTTACATTCTGTTGTCAAACATGTATTCGGTAGCAGGAAGATGGGAAGAGGCTGCAAAAGTTCGAAGATTGATGAAATCCCGTAATATCAGCAAAGAGCCTGGACGGAGTTGGCTTGAAGCAAATAGCAAAGTTCACAGCTTTATGTCTGAAGATAGAGGGCACTTGAGAACGGCCGAGATATACTCCAAGGTAGACGAGATGATGTTTCTGATCAGACAAGCTGGCTATGTTCCGGACATGAGTTATGCCCTCCATGACATGGACACTGAAGGCAAGGAGCTCGGTCTGGCTTACCACAGCGAGAAACTAGCAGTGGCATTCGCTTTGCTTGTTATACCATCTGGAGCTCACATTCGCATTTTTAAGAACCTCCGTATCTGTGGGGACTGCCACAATGCTATGAAGTACATATCGAGAGTGTACCTTCGGCATATCATCTTGAGGGACCCCAACTGTTTTCATCACTTCAAAGAAGGCAACTGCTCTTGTGGAGACTATTGGTAACAGACATTAGACAAAATCTCGAAAACAGAGGATATCTGAATGGCGACATTGCAGGATACAGATTAAGATTATACACTTGGGAGCAACCAAAATCATGTTGGTTCCTGAGGTTAGTGAGTGTTCATTGTTAGAAAATTGATATATGCAAGAAAGAGAAATCTCATAGCATCAAAATCTTTTCATCTTATACAGATAAATGCACAATGCTACACTGCAGAGCGACGCCAGTGAGGGTTCATAGCCAGAAGACTGCTACACATGAGAGATTTTACCGCAACAAAATTTTAAACCTTATGTGAATGGAATCACGAAACTACAATGAGAAGGGATCGTTCTCCCGGGTAGCCCTAGGAAGAAGTCCTGAGCAAATTCACAAGAAAAACCCTCAGGATTTTCTAGCATAATTTGTTTCCATAGACCATCATCTGAAGGTTGTACTGTATGGCTTATAGAGGCCGGGGAATAGGAGGAACAGCTCAAGGACGAGAGTGTTAGCATCTGAAACTCATTCACATTGCGAGGAGCATAGACAACATGATCATCTTAGCGAAATTTAATCGTTCCTTGCATGCTCAGGGATTAGGCGTTCACGCAGTTCAACAGAAGCACCGGCCAGTTCTGCAAGAGAAATTGCATTTGTTTTTCCACACAAACATCAAGGGGAATCATTTGTGATCATTGGGTGAGATGGGCGGAAGCCATTAAAGCTAACCTTGAGCTGTGAAATCAAACAATGGAGGCATTGCTCGGCCGTTTGGCAAACAAGCTCTCGGGTCTCTCAGATCATCGAAGAACGGGTGAGCACATGCTTCCAACTGAAACCATGAGCGAGATTATTAGACAAGGGCCGCCATATAAAGGGATCAGACATCAACTAAAACCATCTTACAGCCGTGTATCTTATGTTTGGGGAATACTGGAGGAGTCTTGAAGCAAGATCCAATGCTTCTGGAGGCAACTCTCTCCGGAATATCTGGAAAACCGGGCAATTTTGCACAAGAAACTGAAGATGAGATATGTCTGGATGTGCTAAAGTCTTTGAAAGCATCATTCTTTGAAACCTCTGGTGTCTGTATCTATATATACCTTTTGCCATGGCTGAGCTTTCAGTTGAGGAAATTTAAACTCATTGTAACGAGGGTTCATGTTCATTATCTCTTCTCTGGTTGGTGTCCCCAATATCTGAGATACACAATAAGATCCAAAACATCAAAACCCGAGCATATTGAAAACTGAAAACTTGATCAAGTTACCTTAATGATCTCCATCAACTGATCAACACCGCTCTCGCCAGGGAACAGAGGCTATGGAACATGAAGCAAACGGATAGGTTTACATAAGAAACAGAGTAAACGGAGTTGGAAAGTTAAGACAGAACAATGAGCTTCATCACCTGTCCAAGGAAAAGCTCGGCCATGACACAACCTGCAGACCACATATCGATTGCTGTAGTGTACTCTGTTGCTCCAAAGATGAGTTCTGGAGCTCTGTAGTACCTCGAGCATATGTATGATATGTTCGATTCTCCTGGAATCTGAGGGCAAGACAAGATTTAAATCAAGAATTCGGTTCTTTAACACACCAACCCGGTGAATTTAAATCTTTATCGAGATAAGACGTACCAGCATCTTTGCACTCCCGAAATCACATATCTTTAGCTGATTAGTATACGGATTGACCTGCAGAATGCAATGAAAAACCCAGAAATATTCCCTCCAGTTCTTTGAGACTAACCGAAACAAGTTTCAAATGCTCACCAGTAGATTCTGTGGCTTAATGTCACGGTGGCAGACTCCAACTACTCGATGCAGATAGTTCAAAGCACGACAAATCTGGTTGAAAAGACAGAAACTTTGTGGAGTCACAGTATTTAAGACAATACCCAAAAAAACGTTTTTCCAAAAAGTTCCGGACTTTACCTGATAAGTGTAGAGCTGAACAATGATCAATGGCATGTGATGGTTCAACCTGGTGTAGTGTCTTGAAGCTCGGTACGCAGTCTCGGGCACATACTCGAGAACAAGGTTAAGATAAAGCTCGTCTTTTTCAGTGGTAGAGAAGAAGGAATGCTTAAGCTCGACGATGTTAGGATGATGGAGCATTCGCATTATCTGAAGTTCTCTGTTTTTGTATCTCTTGTCCTGTAACACCTTCTTGATTGCTACTCGTTCTCCCTTCTCCATGCACTTTGCCTGCATCAGGAACACAATACTGACAAATTTACTAACATAGGTAATTTGGGAAACGAAACTATAATCAGGCAACCAAAAAGAAACATCATATCTGTCTAATCTTGGCAACTAGTTCTTCTGAGTTACCTGGAAAACAACGCCGAAGGAACCAGAGCCGATAACATGTTCAGCTCTGTATGATATGATCTGGAGGCAACATTGTCAACAGAACATATCATCAGGAAGATCAGTTTTGATGAAAACCCAAATCATGATTCATGTGACAGATTATATGAGGAGGTGAAACAAGAAGATCACCTGGTCTTTCTGACCATTCAGACCCTTCTTTCTCGAGGTAATAATCTTCCCAGGTTCTGTCCCATTGCCCTTGATGACGCCATTATCCTGTAGATCACGATGAAGAAATATCTGTCAAGACAAAAGCTGTTTATACATATTAATGCGGAAGAGACGTTCAAGATTCAAAATGCAGAAAGGGGAAAGGACTTAAACCTTCTCTTCGCTCATTTTCAGAACTTGCATTTCCTTGGGAAGCCCGTCGTAGCCTGAATTTTCTGTCGTGGCTACGGTTTCTCGCGTTTTCTCAGAATTACACTCAGACGATTTCGTTTCTGCTGTAGCTTCGCGATTGTGGTCGATGACATTCGATCTTGTCGGGCCGACATCCCCTACCTGCGAATTGAAAACAGCATGATTTTCACATAGAATCCTAGAATTGTATGTCTTGCAAGGCATGAAAAGCATCTAGAGCCCGAAACCTAGGGTTTCTTTCACCGACGAAACGTGGAAGAAAAGAAAAGAAAAGAACAAATCTGCAGATTAGAATGCACAGAGGAACGAAGAAGGGGAAAAAGGAAATGGAAATTCGGAAACCGTACAAGATCAGAAGAAGAAGAAGTGCGTCCAGAGGCAAAACTCTTCAGCCTACGCATCACATCCATTGTTGCCGCTTTCAAAAGACCATTAATTTTCCAGGAAAACACATACAAAAAAAGGGTCTCGAGAAAACAGAAGAATCAGCCCTCACGAGAAGAGGGAGAGGGAGAGAGAGAGAGAGAGAGATGGGTCCAGTTTCTCTCCTCCTCCTCCTCCTCCTCCGCTGTCAAATCCAGAAACAGAGAAACGAAATCGACAACAAGAAAGGGACCTCTCTCTATATATATATGTATGTATATATCTGTGCGTGTATGCGGACAGAGATGAAAAGCCCAGGCGAGCTTCTCGCATGGACACAAATGGAAGACCAATCATCCTTCTGGGCCATGATTTCCGTACAAAAGGATAATCCAACGGCAGATATTCAAATCTTTTGCTCTCACAAAATGACAAATATAGCCTTGTGGGGTGCGGAATCTATGTTTTGAATATTCCATTGCCCCCCGGGCCCCCCCTTACATTTTTATTACCCCGTAAAATGTAAATAAATATAACACAAAATGGTCCATGCGTAATGGATAATATAGTAATGTGCTGTTTGGACTTTTGACCCATTGATAATGGCCCATCAATTAAGCCCATCCATTCATATTAATTTGTCACTGAATTTCACATCCAACACAAATATTCATATATGTGAATTTAATATTCAAACAAATATCCATTTTCGCATTCCCACCCGTACCAGAATTTTTTTTTTTAAAAAAAAAACAAAAGATTCCATACAGTCCATAAACATAGATTCTAGTTCTACATTTTTAGAGACAGAATTGGGATTAGCAATCAATCACGTCGATTTAGAAACGCAAAAAATTCTGCGTTTGCGGTTAGACTTGCGTACGTGAGCCATAAGCAATCCCCCCGTCTTCGGCCATGCAAAACATGCAATCAAATATCATCACTTTCCACTTTTAGTACGTGGGTCCAATGTATATATAATATTTAAATAAGGGCTTGACTCGCCAACCTCTCCCCCACTTTTTTCTTTTCTACGGTTTAAAGCAGGAAAGCGTACATTGACAAAAACACATAAAAAATAGCGAGCGTTCGTCCCATTTTTAAAAGCATTTACTGCTTATTTCCATAATTTCAAATTGCCAAATCGCATCTCATTTTCACGCCCTTAGTCTCCCAAGGTTGACAACAATTATAAAAAAAGCATTATTATCTTGCACTTGTATAGAAACGTATTCCCTTATGATTGTATGTTATTTGATTTTAGGGTAAGTCACAAGATTTCGTGATTACAGAGCCATATATATGAACTGCAGATTTTGGATTTCGGACAATATTAAAAAAGAGATTAGAGTTTGAGTTGGGGGATGCGGCTGTTTCATTAAATGCACGACACCTCTCTCTATCTGTCTGTATGTCTTGACAGCTGCCTCTGGTCCCATCTCTCGTCCATATAATTCACGGCCCCCACCACCAAAAAGTCTCGGCCCACCAACACACAATTAATCATTTCCTATATATATATATATATAAATTCATTATATTACCCATTAATAATAAATCAAACCGTCCACATTACACATTTATTGAGTCAATACCCGAACCGTCAACCGCTGAGTCATACGCGCCGGTTCGTTCTTGACTCAAATGCCCCACCACCTCAATAATTTCATATACACTTGACAAAAGTCTAAAGTCATGGAAGAAGGGCCGCTCTGATCTTCTGGACGGTGCACGATATCAGGTTGTTGACCGTATCCACCGACTCGACGGTCAGCTTGGCCGTCGGCAAACTGTTCACCAGTATCTGGAACGCCACCGTCAGAAGCGACCCTCCCTCCTCCATCTGACCCGAGTCCGGCACGATGGCGAACCCCGACGGTAACAACGCCACATAGGCAGAGTCGCCGCCGTTCATGACCACGTGCATGGCCGGTATGTCCACAGGAGCGTACACCACGAGTGCCCCGGCCGTGTCTATGCACGTCTCCTGCAGTACCAGCATGCTGCTCTGATTCGCATTCATCGCCTGTCGAAAACAGGATATACCGATATTAACGTTTTTAAAATCGGTGAAAAGGGTATCGTATAAAAGTTGTAATGATGAGAATGAGATATTAAATTTTTTTTTTTTGGGAAGGGGAGTGTCTGTGTCACCGTAGGGCCAAAAAAAGCTGAGGAAAAAAGGTGGGAAATGTCCTATTGATTTTGACTTTTTTCTTATAATTTATATATAAAAAAAGGCACCACCTTTTAGTTTACACAACTTCCAAATTCAAGATTTGTCATTTTCCAATCACACAGACGACAAGATTCACACGAGATCCTGGGTCACACACGTCATATCCACACACAACACAGATAACATACGTATAGATAGATATGGAGAGAGATGAAGTGTAGTATCAGTAATGTGTATAGGGATTGCTTACACTGGCGCGGAGGAGGGAGACGCAGTTGGAGAGGTCTTGGCCCTTGGCGACGTGGGCCATCTCCTGCATGGGACCACCGTTGGATAATATATCCCACTCAGATCTCAGCCGTTCATCCCTCAGGAAGTCGAAGAGCCTCCTCGGCTCTGTCTCCGGCAGCCATACGGAGGTGGCGGCGCTCAGGACAATGCCCGGAGGCTCGCCAGGGGTGTCCACGCCCCTCCTCTGACTTTTTTCTTATAATTTATATATAAAAAAAGGCACCACCTTTTAGTTTACACAACTTCCAAATTCAAGATTTGTCATTTTCCAATCACACAGACGACAAGATTCACACGAGATCCTGGGTCACACACGTCATATCCACACACAACACAGATAACATACGTATAGATAGATATGGAGAGAGATGAAGTGTAGTATCAGTAATGTGTATAGGGATTGCTTACACTGGCGCGGAGGAGGGAGACGCAGTTGGAGAGGTCTTGGCCCTTGGCGACGTGGGCCATCTCCTGCATGGGACCACCGTTGGATAATATATCCCACTCAGATCTCAGCCGTTCATCCCTCAGGAAGTCGAAGAGCCTCCTCGCCCCTTCCCCCCGCAGCCATACGGAGGTGGCGGCGCTCAGGACAATGCCCGGAGGCTCGCCAGGGTTGTCCACGCTCTTCCTCGTCATTATCCTCACGTCCTCGTCTATGTTCCCTACGTTCAGTTTGCTCCATTTCTGAGCCGAGGAGGCGCATACTCCGCCGCAGAAGTTTTCCGTCATCCTCTGCGCCAGCTTCAGCATGCTCTTTCTCCCGCTGCAGCTTATGGCTGCTTCCCGTCGGGTCCACAAATGCGACGGATTAACTATGAGGATTGCATACTATACACGAGAGATTGAGATGGGAACTTACGAGTGGGGAAGGAGGAGGAGACGGTGGAGGACATGAGGATGGTGAGGCATTCGCATTGGCGTTGGAGAGCGGCGATCCACCGCTTGGCTCCAAAGGCCAAGCCGCTGCTCACTAAGGGACGGTACATCCGGTGAATCTGGCTCTCCTCGTACTCTGCGTGCTCCACCCATTTCACCTGTTGTACACCACATTCATGGTTTTGTTACTTTGTCTCTATACAAAAGCACGTCTTATAACGGATAAAAATCCAATGTGTCACCAACCCAAAGATCGTGATAATACAAGATAGAGCAACTTAAACAGTCAAGGGCTCAAGGCACTTTTTATTGACCCAACGCAAAAAAAAAAGCATTGGTTTTGATAGAAGAAACGACATGAAATTTAATGTGCTCAAGGCACGGAAATTTGCGAGATTTAGATGCTTCTGTCAAGGTGCTACGAATTAATTAAAAACACAATGAAACTAAACCTCATAGAATCTTTCGATTTTTAAAATTTTCCGACAGAACAAGAGCTTCTTAGTTCATAGAGGAAAGCGAGGCAGCTTTTTGAGACAAGGGTCAACATCTAATTCCGTCTGGAAAATCGAGGAATATGAGTATTTTACACTAATAGAAAGTGCCAAATTAATTTTATAGAGATGTAACAAAAAACCTTAAAAAAAAGGGTGAATACAAAGTCAGCATGAGACAGGACAAAAGCTTCGTGAGATCCGTGAGACAGACTAACTTTGGGCAGCAGACAAAACAAAAAGCCACCCATGATTTTTTTCTCTTTGCCCTTTATTCTTCTCAAACCTCACATTTGGTTTTTAGTTTTTTACTTTAGGTTAGCAGCACCCACAGTGAATATATGTATTAAAAAGCTCAAAACTTTTTTACTTTGTGCAGGCAAGGCAGTAAAATATACGGAATGACCGTTTTTTTGTTTACCTTGGAGTAGCCATTGGGCATGTCTTGCACAAGGCAACCAGAAGGAAGCCTTCCGCAGCTCGGTGACCCAGCCGAGCTGTCCCTTATGGTGTCGATGGAGACGTCGACCACTGCCCACACACCCTCTGCGTGCTGCTTACAGAACCGCAGGAAGCTAACTCGACGCACCGGCACGAGAGGGGACAGCAACTGAAGCTCCGCCTGCATCTATACACCGACCAAACAAAGGAATTCTGATTCTTGCACAATGAAAGAACTAAGGGTCTGATCACAAGTGACTGGAATGGTATACGCACCAGCTGAAGAGCTCCGTTTCGGGTGCCTCCCACGCCACTGGAGATGATTTCTGTTGTCGAAGTTCTTGCGATCATACATGGAAACATCTCCGCCCATCGTTCCTACGAAATTTAATACAATAATGAGGGAAGCACGCCATTTTTTTTTACGTGAAGCAATCAGGGCATGTTCTTGGAGAACTTACCGAGTCCATCAAGGTCTCTACGAGAGCTAAGCTGTTGATGATGACCATCCCGACCTCTCTAGATGCTTCCGAGACGAACCCTTCTCGTTTTGGTCCGACACAAGACGAGAAATTCCGCTCGTACTCTTCGTGGTTCAGCACTTCGCGTCCGCTGTCGGAACTCCTCACCCAAAGTGGCTCGCGCGCTTGCGCTATCTTCACGAGCTCGTCCATGGCAGCTAAAGCCAGCTCCAGATACATCTGTCTCTGGTCAGGTCCCGTGACGTTCGCGGTACTAGCCAGCGGCGGTCGGCTCGCCGGAGCAAGGCCAGAGCCGGCGGCGGGAATCTCGAACCCGGTAGGAGGGACGAGAGGTAGAGGTGGAGAGGAGACGCCGAAACCGGCGTTGTTGGAGCCGACGCCGAGCTCGAGGGCGGAGTCGGGTAAGGGATGTGAGGGGATGGGGCGGCCGAGGAATTTTCCGGCTAAGGCACAGATGCGATCGAGTTCGTCTCTTAGACGAGCGTTCTCGATCCTAAGATGTTGCTCCTCCAGGGACACTTCGCCGAGCACGGCGTGTCCGCCACAGTCGCCGCAGATTGGGTTCCTCACGGCCTCGCGTATCGACATGTTCTCCGACCGGAGTCTGTCGTTTTCTTGTCTCAACAAAGCGTTCTCATGGCGCTCCAGTTGTGTCTGCCGGAAAAACAAAAATAAAAAAGCAGAAGAACAAAAACAGGCTAACAGATGCAAGGGACCGAACCTTCATCTGGGTGCGACGGTTCTGGAACCAGAACTTGACCTGCCGAGGGTCCAAGTTTAGCCGACGGCTGAGTTCGAGCCGTTGCTTCTCATCGGGGTGAGGATACTCCTTGAAAACCCTAATCAGCCATTAAACAAAAATTTCGGAGGAGACGAATGAATCGACCAAACAAACAATCTCGAGCGTGAAAGCAAAGGAGAGAGAGTAAAGAAAAACAAGAAGTGCGTACGATTCGAGCTCTTGTATTTGCTGGGGAGTGTGGCGGTGGTAACGCTTTTTCCTGGGAGGCCTTTCGGCGGCGTCTTGGTCGTCGCCGGAGAGTCCGTCGGCATTATCGCTGCCAGATCTGCTCTCTGGTTCATCTTCTCTACTCCTCCTATTTGCACTCACCTCGAAACTCTCGCCTCCTCTCGTCACTTCTCCGTTGCTCTCTACATTCGTTTGCTGCGGCAAAAAAAAATCACCGGCAAATTTTCAGAAGAAAACCCATAAAGAAATGGTACAAGGAGAGAGAGAGAGAGAGAGAGACGAGTGGAGTCGTACGAGGCCGAGGGAGAGGCCGGGGGAGGAGAACATGGGCTTGGCAAGAGGAGGGACAAAACCACCACGGTGGGGCTGAGCAATGGCGGCAGCGGCGGAGGAAGAGAAGTGGTTGGCGAAGGAGACGTCGGAAAGGAGCCTGGGGGCGTCGCCGGAGGAATCGTCGAGGAATCCGCTGAAATTCATGAAACCGAACCTGAACGAAGAAAGATGTTACTACACAAAGAATCTCTAGAAACCCGCAGCGGACGCGGAAGGAAGCAAAGAAGAATTCGGAACCCCACACTTTCTCTCTCTCACATAAACACACTGTCTAAACCAGAGGAAAACGGGAGAAAAGCCCTAACCGTAGAGGCTTGTCGCTTAGGTGCATGTCCATGAACGAGAGAGAGCGAGAGAGAGAGAACAATTAAAAAAAGAGGAAAAAACCAACAGAGGAGCTTTCAGATTTGTTCTCACGGGAGAGAGAGAGAGGATAAAAGGGAAGGGGATGTGGAGTCATCGAAGCCTTACAAAGGAATACAACCAAGAATAGGTCGGTTGACTCTCCACACTGCGTTTTTGCGTATCCCTTTTTGTGCCTAGAGTCCACTCACCTCTCTGCTTATTTACGGTCTTGCCCTTCTTCTTCAAACCCAAAACCAGAAAAAAATGAATATAAATGTTTTCCGAAGATTTTTTTTTTTTAAAAAAAAGAGATTTTACTAGGCCTGATGATTTTTCGTTTTTCACTTTGAATGATTGTTCCAATCTTCCAGTGATTTCGATAAATTTATTATAAAGTTATTTTAATGGAGATATGATTTTTAATTAGATCAAACACCCACGTCAGTTCAGTGAGCGAGTGATTTATAATGGTTAAGTGCCGAGGTAGAGATGGAGAGTAAGTCACATTTGTCCGGATTCCGAATCTGGCGAAATTCTAATCTTACAGGGGTCCGAGTAGATATCGAGTTATTTGTTGAATGGTACATGTTCTTTTTTTACCATATAAAAAAGAAAGGCAAATCAATTGAATGATTGAACCATTAATAATAATAATAATAATATAATAAATGGACATGAAAGCTGTCAAATGTACTTGACCCTTTTGCAGTACTTTTGCCTGCAGGAAAAAAAAAGGGTTCCGGATGGACCGTTGATCATAAAATGAAATATTGAACGGTTTGGTGGCACCTCACTTTACTGCGCATGAAATGATGTCACATAACCATAACCAATAAATATGGCACACCTCCTCCAAACCCCAAAAACACAGTCCATACATACGTTGAGAGCAACTTATATTAAGAATTTATTGAAGTGTATAGGTTACGTACGCCTTCGCCTGTCAGAAGTATTTGCATTTCAATGCGAAACAAATGCATTTGATCGCTATGGATTCAATTAAAGTGAAGATCGCAAGGAACTCAAGACATATGACTGATACGGGAACAGGTGAGAAACGCTATCTGTCTTCAGTTGTAAACTTTGCAAACATGGTTATCAGAAGCATATACCAATAGACAGCAGAGAAACGCTACAAATATAATATACTCTCAACCCCCTCCTGGATCTGATCTGACATACCCATAACTCATCCCTGCAAAATGCATCATCATCATCATCATCATATCCAATCTAAAAGACCTACAAAACACCACAACACCGAGCCGATCTCACACACAATGGCATTTAGATATCTTTGAAGCCGTACCTCCGACACCATGTGGGTGCGAGCTCAATGTTTCCTTGCAGCTCGGACATGGAACTCGTGTTTCAGAAGGTTGGCCCTCAACAGCATTGCCCTCACATCTCTATCGAACTCACCTCCTGTCTGAAGAACCCTTTGGAATGTTGCATTCCTTTGGTCCGCATGCCTTGCATACAGGACCTTGTTATGCGAATCAATCCGAGCCTGCCCACCCAAAAAAAACAAAACAAAAAAAGTTCTAAGGACGGAGTACGTAAACCTACAGGTCCACATTTGAAATGCCACTACATGGACACAAACCTTCAGATATTACTTAAGAAAAACAACATACCTGTATCTGGTTGTCTGTGATCAAGGCTTCAAGTTCCTTCACTAGCCCAGAAACGCTGGTCTTGAATGCATCTGCCATCATGCTCAAATCAACAGACACAAATGGAAGTGTGTACTGGACGAGAGCCTTCTTCCGTATCTGATCATACAGTGTCTCCACATGATCATGAAGATGTATGTCGAGCAGTAAATTCGCTTTGAGATTTTCGAGGTACTCCAGACAGGAAGCATACCGGCTGCAACAAATAACGTTCAACATGATGGGAGAAGATTCCATGAAGACATCGTCGTATCTTAGTTTGGTAAAAGTTGGACATCACCAAATCAATGAATAGAGTAAATCAAGAAATAAGGATATGTTACCTCGAATAGAAATCATTAATAAGCTCCCTAACTTCGGGTACTAGCTCCAAGAAATTTCGAAAGTTTATATTGTCAATGACTTTTTGCTGTTACCAAGTTATAGACCAAATATATTAAGAAAAGTTGGGCAACAAAAAATGGCAGAGAGACAAAAACTAAAACGATACATGCCTTTAGTTCTGACCGATCGAAGCTTGCAAGGGCACAGAGTCCACCATAGGTAGCAACATCTTGAGGAGCAATAACCTCATTGTATGAGTTTCCAAGTTCTGGATTAACTTCCAAGAACTGCACAGATGACATATTCAACTTTGAGGATCAGTTCCAAGTTACGCAAAGAATTAAGAAGATCCAAACATGTGAATTGTCAATAGTTTCGGAGACTGTGACATTGAGAGCATTAACATCCATGTAAAAACATAATCGAGAGGCATATGCAAATGGAATGATGAATATGACTCGATAACAAACCTTACGGGCAGCGAGCTTGTACTTTCTAACCTCCAAGTGGGCGAGTCCAGAGGCACATCGTAGTTTTGCAACCATGATAGGGTCAAGGGTCTCCGAAGTTTGCTCTGCTTTGCTCACATAGCTCGTCACATGAGTAAACTGACCCATCTCGATGCTGACTAGAATCACGTTTGCGCACATGTGGATAATATGCTTTGCAGTTGTGCAATAGTCACGCGTACGGACGTAACTCTTAAAGGCCTCCCCAAGAAAACCGCGAGCGTAGTAAAAGTCTCCAAAATCGTTATAACCCATCCTGATGCTTTCTTTGATCAGATTTGTCTGAAAGATCAAGCAGGGCCAAATGAGGAAACTAGGACGACATAACGCAGATTACAGAGTGAATCAACCACCTTGATTCACCTAACATAACATGAAAAGAAATTAACATAAAAGGGATATGCTACCTAAATACAACACAAGAAGAGAGGTAAGCGTTCCCAAAAAAATCTCACAGAATAAAAAATGGTAGAACGAGGGAAAACACTATTGAAGGCAGAAAGAGATACCTGAAGGCCGATTAAGAACTCTAAAAACGTTTCTCACACAAAGCAGCGAATCACTACTACAGAATTCGCTCTATTCATCATAATCCTGCGGATGTTATCCCTTTTTATCCACTTAATGAATCGAAGCGACTTATGAAAAATCCCAGTAAAGTCTTCCACAGGCTAACCGATATCCGTAATCTAGTACTATTCAAAACGTATCACGAAAATCTATAGCAATTTGAAAATCCTCTCACCAAATGAAAGTAAATTAGGCTAAAAAAGCCAGAAAAAAACGCCGAATTACCCGATACGAGCTCAGCTCATTCTCAAGCTTTCCCTTCCTTTGGTCCGCCCGACGATCGACGGACTCGCACCAGGCGGAATCCATGTCATACTTATCCCCAAGTCTTCCATTAATCTTATTCACGACATCTCTGAAGAGCTGCGTGTTCTCTCCCTTTTTGATCTCGTCGTACGCCATTCTCACCGCCTCAAGCTGCATCGTCTGGTTGTCGCCGCAGTGGTCGGCGATGAACAGCAGCCGCATGATCTTCGTCCGGCCACTGTATAGCGCCGCGTACGCCTCGATATCGAGCGGCTCCCCGCTGATTATCGGCCTCCGAGCGGCCGTCACTTCGCCGCCGTTGGGGCACATCTCCATCATCGTCCCCACCGCGTCTTCATCGCGCTCCATTGGATCGTCGTCAGTGTTAGGGTTTTCTCTTCCAACTTATATTGGGACAGATTTCTTTGCGTTGCCTCTTTGGCTTTTTGTTCCCACTCCGATGCAATGTCTCTCTCTCTCTCCCCTACTGACAACTCACACGCGTCTGTATCTCGCACGTGCCGTTACTCTATTTTTTGGGAGAGTAAACATCTAAACGACGTCGTTAGTACATAAAGCTAATTTCGGCCCATTTAAAGTAAACGGGCCTTCATCATTCATTATTCAAGGAGCCTCATGCCCAAAAAGTAGGGGGTGTGATGTCAATTTAGACTCCGGACCACCCAGCCCGATCCGACCTAATCCGAAAATTAGCGGGCTTTAGGTTTTTCTGGCAAAAAAAATTAGATTTTTGGACTGGGTTCGAATCGGATTTCGGACTCGAGTTGGGCCGGTCCAGAAGTTCGATATTTTTTAAAAAAAATAAGATTTACAAAGGACGGTGTGGTCCGACCCGACATGAGTTTGGAATATATAGGACCGGGTTCCGAGTTTAACTATATAGGTTTGAAAAATATCAGGTCGGTCCGAACCCGAACCCGAAATCTTTGGACCAAATGCAAACTCAGACCGATTCGATTGACACTCCTGCCAAAAACCTAAATGTATAGTGGGAATTGAAATGTAATAGATAATGTATATGCTTACAGATTCGTCCAACGCTTACAACTCATTAAACAGTCAAAACCCATTTATTAATACAAAAAAAAAATCATTAATGGAGGAAAGAAAAAAAAAAGACGAGCAATCATGAAAGAGAAGAGTTGGCAACGTTGGGAGATGGAGCAGTCCAATACTGCTTCACTGCGTACAGAATCTTCTCTCTCTCGTGAGGTCCCTTCTCGTGGTCGAAGATTCTTCCTTCCCATTGCAATCCTTTTATAATTCTCTTAACCTTCACCAAAATATCTACATCGTCTCTGATCATAACTCCTCCTCCCGGTCTCAAAATCCGGTCCATCTCCAGCAAAATTTCTTCCGGTTCACATTGATCTTGGTACAGGCTGAACACCGAATCCGCGTGTACGAAATCGTACGTTCTTGGGTACGTCGACATTGCTTCGCACCTGCCCAGACATATCCAAATCCAAAATCAGTAAAATACCGAAACTAAACCGGATTACTTGCGTTGGGTCCGGTTTGGTTTAGGAAGCTTACCAGTTCTGGTATGTTCCGATCAAGCCACGTTCGTATACGACGCCGAGTGTGTTGACACTTGCCTCGACCGGGACGACGTTCATGACCCAGACAGGGTCGTCGACAAGAGCGGCGGCAAAGCCTCCTAAGTAAGCGTTCATGTCGAGCAAGTTTCTGTATCTTCCTCTTTCGGCCAACTGATGATCTAATGTCTTGTAATGAGAAACCCTGTTTTTCCACAGTTCAGTGTTCTCCAAGAACATCTCGGCCGTGATTCCCTCGACGGTGCCGCTGCTTATTCTCGGAGGAATCGCGTTGAGTCTCGCCGGCCATTTCTCCAGTTTCCCCCCGGCCACCGCCTCGATATCTCCGGTCTCTGGTACTTCCGGCAATGGGGTCAGACATGTCTCCAGCTTTGTGTACCTGAGTAATTAACCAGTACAGGGTTTAGGAAAGAACAAAAAGAAAACAGGGCATGATGAGAAGGCAGTAGAAGAACACTAACCAAGCCATGTCTGGATCGGTTTTCTGACAGAACTGCGGCTTCTTGGACACATCTCTGGTCCTTCTGCATCGAACGTGGTTGAAGGGTTTCTGCCAAACGGCGAGATTGTCTTTCTGCACGACTTTCTTCCAGCACAAGTTTCTTGCAACTCGCTCGATCTGAGTCTGTTCCGCTTCCAAATCATCCATCGTCCTCCCCCACCCTTTCCATCGGTTCTGCCAATTGATCGGCGGCCCCGACAGTATCCAATACCCTCCCGGTCTAAGAACCCGATCAACCTCCATCAGATAAATCCCATCTGCATACACATCACAATGAAAAATTAGAACAAGGGTTTTCTTCCAAACGTTAAAAGACGACAACTTTGGCAACATACAATGTCAGATGACAGAACGGGACAGATCTGACAAGGACATCATACCGTATTGGCCCCAGGGTATGAGGCAACGAGAGCAATGGGCCAAATCGAAAGATCGAGAAGGGTAGGGCAGACGGATTGTGGCCATTATGCCGATCATTGCAGGTACGCCTCTCTCGAGGGCAAACTGTACTTGAGCCTCGTGCGTATCTCTCGGCGCAAACGACATTGTCATCACTTTTCTCGACAGAAGATACGCCCCAAAACTCGCCACCTGAATCCACGAACTCACCACATGTGAAAGGAACTTCGTTTCTCATTTTTTGATCGAACATTGATCTCAGAAGAAATCTAATACCATGCCGTGGTTCAACTTCTTAAAAGGGATTTGATTGTTTTCATGCTTGGTTTCAGTACAAAAATCTCATATATGAACAGAAAAAAAAAACGGCCCTAGATTCATTTCCTGATTTTGACCTTTTTTTTTTCGTGGCTGGTATTTTCAACTCGCATGATTAACGGTTGGTTTGAGCAGGTCAACAATTACATTATATTAGGTGAGGTAATGGGTCACACTCAAGAGACAAATGCATTGGAAAAAATAAATATATAATCATACATTATCGATCATCTAATGAAAATGGCATCAGCAATTACTGTTTAGATTACTATTTCCAACATTTTGCCAAGAATTTCAACCAAATGTTGCACTGAGTTCGAAGACTTTTTCTCCTTTTTCAATGATCTAACTATAAGAAACGTGTGATTATGCATTCTTGCAGTGTAATCCAAGGAAAATGAGATGCAAATGTAATTTGGACCAGCTTGGCATATGAACCGTAAAGTCATACGTACCCCGCAGCCGGTGTCGATGGCCGTGCGGATGGAGCCGTCGGAGAGATCGATGAGCCGTCCGATATCGTCGATGTAGGCATCGGCGCCACGTGGAAACATCGTACCACCTCCGGGGAACCAGAACCGGTCGTTCTCGTACCGGACCCAGTTCTGATTCTTCTTCTCCACCGTGAGCTCCGTGTGCGGCACGTTCGCGAACCATGCCACGTCACGACTCTCGGGCCACCGGAACGGCGTCTTGTAACCGTACGGCGCCGGAATCCGACAACGTAGGACCTCGTCCCTCTCGGGGCAATGCCTCTCTCTGTACTCGAGCCTCTCCCTCGGGAACCTCAGCGATCTTTTCTGGTCCTCGCACGGCGTGTACTCACTCAGCTTAACGCCACAGGCCGGGAACGTGACGTCACGCGCCGCCGTAGGAGGCGGGTCCTCCGCCGTGTGGTGCGCCGTGAAATCGAGATCCGGAGACAGAAGGGTCTTCTTGAATTCGTCGCATTCGGCGGCGGCGGCGGCGTCCTCGGCGGTGGTGGCGCGTGGGATCACCGGGCGAGAGTTCTGCCATACCGCGAGGAGGTAACTCGCGACGCAGAGGAACGTCACGAGGGTTGTGTAATATATTTTGGACTTCATCGTCCTCGACCATACACTCGAAATCAAATTCATTTTCTGTACAAAAAAAATGAAATAAAAAAGTAAAGAGTTCTTAGGTGTATATATAGGTGACGAGTGAAGTTTCCAAGACTTCGATCCGAAGTGGTTCGAGTGCGGTTGCGGGGATATATGGGGTATAATGGCGAGAGGGGGGCGCGTGAGATATACGCGCATGAGTCAACGTATTATTTTTATGAAATAAGACAGAGCATGGTTGGATTAATACAACGTGCGAGCTTGTAATGTGCACAAACGGGAGCTCGAGTATATTTGTTCGCCGGATTTTTCGCTCATGGTTGGATCCCCTTCCTGAAATTTCCTTAGATTTCCATACTTATTACCGAGACGTTACCGTAGTCGATTTGACTGAAAACCCCCCAGGGATGTTAGAATATTACGAAATTGTCCCTCATCACGGTTGAGAAATTTCACGCTCCGACGAACCGCGTGGCTAAAAAAAAAAAAAAAATCCAAGAGTGGGGTCCGTTCGGGTCCTTTGGACACAGAAGAAGCATTCCCCTCGACCTTTATTTTGTTTTTGGGGAAACGAACCAAATTGATCACAAACCGTATCACCTTTTCCATACAAAGACCGGTCCAACCGGGAAATTATGTATAATATTCCCCATCTCAACTAAAATTAGAAATCTTGGTGTAATATTTAATGGCCAATTTGGGGAACCTTTTAGGAACCGGTGGATCTAAACGTTGCGGAGCCAAGAAGAAAGCCCAAAGGAGGCAAAGTTGTTCCTCAATTCCAACGGTCTGGCAACCACACTTCATGGCCATTTACATAAAACCAGATCATTAATGATTGCATGTGTAAATTTCTCTTCTTATTGTTTTTGTTTGTGTATAGAGTTTGTTTTCAACAGCACATGATGACGTGGAGTGCTCAATTAACGTAATAAACAACTGTTCATGCATGCATGCATGCATGCCTTTCTCTTTCTCGGATTAATAATAGAATGTTCTTTGCCGGATTGTTGTCTTGTAATTATTTATAGCGAGTTCTTCAACCACCTGTCGGATCACGATCATTGGTTCCGCAAGAACATGGGCGTGTATATATATATATATATAACCAAAATTTCAAACCCATGTGGTGTTTATATGTAACATTGGGCTAAAGAAAACCCAATTTGTCCATTTACGAGTCTGGCCCATTCGAATCTGAGCTTCAATTTTCCAAAAGTGGCAATGTGGTTTGCCGTGGGAAACAAGCAACCGAAACCTTCCGAGTTCCGACGCAATCTGAATGTAAATGCGTATTTCGTGAAATTATGTTGTTCGATTTGATGATTGATCCCATGAAATTGTGCTTTACGTGATTCTCTCGAAACTTGTGGATTATACTCTCGGGAAGCCCCTCGAGGCCGCGTTTTAAATTTGGTGGCCCGTTAGCGTTTGAATCTAACAATACATGAATTTTCTGTATACACAGTGCATAGGGCAATAGAATCGACCCATCGTTATATGTTATTGTTCTAAATCATCATAATACGAGTTTTGTTTTGCGGTGCTCTAATTAATAAAATAATTAGGACGGCGTAAAGTGGAGGGTGAGTGAAGTCATAGCCACTGACTCCTCCACGTAAGCCCAAACTAGGTGGGAGAGCTAAATTGCTCGCCACGTAAGCAAAGTGGATCAAGTGAACTGTCCGACAAGGATGGCAGATGTCTTTTCTTCATGGATTCGATTTCTTAATTTCACTTGTCAGAAAGACACTCCTATATACATACACATATACGCATATACACATACATGTGGTTAAAATGAAATAAAAAAAATAAAAAGAGGTGGTTTTTTAAGTGATTATTCGTTTTTGGGATTACCTTTTGAAAAAAAAAAGGTGGTGCGTTATGGGTTTTAATTTGTGTTTATATTAGAGCTTTAATCGTCGTTAATGAAGTTTGTTATTCATTTAATTGCCATAAAAGAGTCGGTCCTCGTGTTTGTATATAAAAATCAGATATAAAATATAGACCATTTCCTAAATTCTAAACGTCGTCGTTTCAAAAACAGATCACTGTTTCAAAAATCGCTCAGTATATTAATTTATCTCCCAAATTGGTGTTATGTTAGGTCACATATAGTAAAAAGGCTTTGATCATTCATTTCGATTTGTGAGTCGGAAACCTAATATTTGGTCAAGTCCACTAATCAAAATACACCGCCAAACCCTATTCTATACTATCCACATATATATTTGGGTTTCTTCCCATTTATTTATTTATTTTGTTAGAACCGTCCACGCAATAATGTAACTTATTAAAAACTATATAAAAAAACGACGACCACTAAAAATTATTAGAGGAAGAAAAGCAATTGGTTTTCTATACAAAAGATAATTATTTGGTGAACCTTTGTGATCATGGATTCAGATCGTGACAAAACCATGAATCGATCATATCATGCATGTATGTATATATATATATCTACGATACATTTTTTTTTGATGAAATATATCTACGATACATGTTTTACGATGACTACTCATTCATGGATATTGAAAAACTCTTCCGGTAAGTGTTATGTAAAAAAATTGGGACCTCTATCTCGTGAATGTATGGTTTTAAAATGCATGAGGCGGCATGCGATGGTTACCGGTACATCTGTATATATGCATTATGCATATACTCTTATATATTAGTTATAGAGTTTCAGTAATGTTGTCGAAATTATTGCCGCCAAACACATCTTATCCATGAATTTAATTTCCTCAAATTAAAGGAGAGAACAAAATGGATTAAGTGGGCTCCACAATGGATGCAAGATTCGCCTAAATTATAATAAATAAAATCCACGTCATTAGACCTTTCCACATAAAACAAAATAATCCACCTCACTAAAATTAAAGTCCACGTCACTGTTTTTTTTTGGCATTTTTTGAATTATTTTAAATTAATTATTCATTTTCAAGAACAAATTCGAAGGCTCATAATTATAAATCATGATTATGGTCCGATATCAGTATAGTGGGAGCAAAATGGTCGTAAATTATATTTCATAATCGAAAAAAATATAACCGTAAGTACAAAAAACATTTGTACGGGATTAAATATGTTAATCAATAACGGTAACAAAAAATCTGTAGTTTCTAATTACATAATTGCAAATTGAGGAGAGAGTTTGTTACAAGTTTTTGAGAATCAAAGCGTATATTGTGTGGAGCGGATAAATCATATTTTATTTTTATTTTTGGTGAGAAGAGACTATATAGTATTGTAGCAATTGACTTTAAATATTTCCATAAATAGTGCTGTAATGAGCGGGCTACGAAAACCTTATATACACATCCCGTGTACTTCGGTAACGTCTGAGACATCATTTCTTGCGAGGAAATAAACAAGTTCGGATCTTTGCGCCTTTATTTTTTGCCCTCGTTTCGCGTATCGGAGCTCTACAGTTTAACGAATCTCTGTGGATGCAACGGAGATTCATATTTAGGGTTTTAGTCGACGCTCCTTGATACGGAGGTTCCGCTTCTTTTTTTTTTTTTTCTGGGTTTGTGTTGTTGATGCGATGGGCGCGAGCATCTCGGGCGGTTCGCCGGAGTTTGGTCGGAACGGTGGCGTTCACTTGGTCGATGTGCCGGAGAACTGCATGGCGTTGATAATGATGAGGCTTGACCCACTGGAGATCTGCAAATTGGCTCGTCTCAACAGAGTCTTCCGTCGCGCCTCGTCGGCCGATTTCATATGGGATGATAAATTGCCTCAGAATTACAAAGCCATTGCGCTGAAGGTGTTTGATGAAATTACTCTGAAGAAATTGAGGAAGAAAGATCTTTACGCGAGGCTTTGTCGGCCCATTCCCTTCGACGGTGGCACAAAGGTTGGAACTTTGATTCTCTCTCTCCATGTCTCTCTGTCAATCTTTGTTTCTTTATTGTTTTTGACTTAATCGATGCAGTTTGAGATGCAGTTTGAATCTTTGGGCAGGAATTATGGATAGGTAAGAACACGGGTCGTCTTTGTTTGTCGATTTCTTCCAAGGCGTTGAGGATTACTGGCATTGATGATCGGAGATACTGGAGTCATATCCCGACCGATGAATCCAGGTTCTTTTCCTTTGTGTTACCTACGGAACAAAATGTTCGTTTTGCTTGAAAAAGATGCGTGCTGAAGGCTTATCATTTGGTTTTGCCATCTTCTCGCCTCGCTTTCGACTAAGGGATATCGTCTACTGTATCTGATTTTGTTATCTGTTCTGATTCTGTATAAAGGCCCTGGTGGCTATTAGGTTTGTCATTTGATAACTTGTAGACGAAATCTCGAGCATTTTCTTGTCGTCTACTCATGATTCTTCCATGTGTCTCTGCAGATTCCAGTCAGTTGCATATGTTCAACAAATATGGTGGTTTGAAGTAGGAGGAGAGTTTGAGATCCAGTTTCCATCTGGAACCTACAGCCTTTTCTTCCGTGTACAGCTCGGTAGAACATCGAAGAGGCTGGGCCGAAGGATCTGCAACTCAGAACACATCCATGGCTGGGATGTAAAACCTGTTAGGTTCCACCTCGCAACTTCAGACAGCCAACAAGCAGTCTCACAATGTTATCTTAGCCACAGTCATGGAAACTGGGTTCATTGTCACGCTGGAGACTTCATAGTCAAAAATTCAGAAATATCAACGAAGATCAGATTCTCGATGACCCAGATCGATTGCACCCACACCAAAGGTGGACTATGTTTAGATTCTGTTCTGATACTACCCAGAGAAGGTGCAAAAGAGGTTCTTGGTATAACACAGTTTTGTAGACAGTGAGATATTCTAAAGGATGAGAATCTTTAAAGACAAGCCTCGATCATCATAATGATTACGGGGTTCGGTTCATACCATCATCTTTGATGATCCCAGATCTATGGAACTTGTATCTGCTTTTCTCTTGGGAGAACCTGTACATATGGTCTGGTCGAGTTGGTTTTGTCTGTATACAATTTCCTCTGTTAAAGATAATAACATGGCTTCTTCTTCGGCAGAAGATTCCTGCAGAGTGTATACTTACGAGCTGTAACAGTAACAAATTACTAAAAGACCAACAGAGATTTCTGAGGTTACCATATACAGAGACTGAGTTCGCTATGAAACCAAACACAACCTTCTTTCACATTCAGGGTGTCTTAGACTTTGGCCGGGGCGGTAGCAACTGCGTGTTTCAAAAAAAAAAAGAGGACAAACATTATATGTACGATGAGAGAGGAAAACATTAAACATGAAGCTGGACATAGGAAATGATCTCGAGAGAGAGTACCTGATAACACGAAATGAGGGAGGTGACAAATCCAAAAGCTCCTGTTACACGAGGAGTGACCTTCTTTGGAGCCAACTGAAGCAGACCAACCGCTACAACAATGTCCATTCCTGATTTAATCAGAGCTAATGTCCTCTCGTTTGATTTCTGGAGTTTAGCACGATACTGCTCATTCTGCATTACATTTTGATACCGGAATATGAGCTTTAAGACAAAGTGGATAGAAGATGAGAGCTTAGAGATAAGAGAATTTCTTACTTGATACTTGTCGCTGCCCTTGAGTTCCTTTTCGATCTTCTTCATAGATGAAGAGAGCCTTCCAAGCTCACCGATCTGATATGGGTTTTGCATACAAGCAAAGGAAAAGCCATGTAAGGCATGTTACAAAGGGACAGAAATACAGACGGAAACTGTCATTTTCTGAAAGTAAACTATAAGAGGATATTAACCTCAGCCAAGGTTGTACAGACGGAGGATCCCATCCAGCAGAAGAGTGATATACGTCCAATCAGTTCAGTTCGTTCTTCGTTCTGTCTCGAGGAAAAAAAAAAGAAGCTTAGCAACCTCTAATGCTCTTCTCAAACCGGCAGAAAACAGAACAGAAGACTCAGAGAAACAAAGGGTACATATCTTTTCACCTTGTATATTCCTGATCTTCCAAGCCATACAATTTGATCGAGGAACAGGAAGGTAGAAAGCAGGGCATTCTTGGACTGGAAGCATCAATGTAATCATCAACAGAGATAAACGAAAAGTGAGTTTCGGTTCAGAAAATGTAAAAGAGAGTAAATAAATATCCACAATGGTCAGAATCTGTTCAAACCTTCCCGAGCAAAACAAGCGGGAGAGGAGTCCCTTTTGGCATGGGGCTAATAAGAGCGTGCAAATCATTCACAAACTGCACAATCATAACACATCAGTTGAACAAAAGAAGAAGCACATTCAACACAAGCAAACAGAACCACTAAGCCATTTCCTATCGGGAAAAGGGATGGAACGACGGCCCTAAACCTTGAAAAGACGGAAAACTTTCCGGGCCAAACTGGTGGATTTGTCGACGTTTTTGGCAGTGCCGGGCTGTCCACCGCTCAAGAACTTGGAACCATACTGAATAGCCCTGCATAGCTTATCCCTCGCCTCGGCTTTGTTCAGATACAGAACTATAAGTGCAAGCTCTGCTCTGGTGACGTCTAATGTAGTCATGTTCTCCCTGAAATTCATAAAACGGAACCCACATACTGAATCTACAACAGAGAACAATCACACTCCGTTCTCATCAACCAGAATCAACAAAGTGTAATCCTTTATCCTAAAAAAAAAAAAGCCAGAAACGGTTCCAACTCCTGGAATTGATAGCGGAAGCTACATTTCGCCTCAGCACCAGCAAGTTTCAGCTTTCTATTAATTAAAAGCCGGAAAATTTGCAGATTCTAATCTGTTTCCCACTAGCCAACACACTCCAAGACAAGGTTTAATCCATGGAACTTGGAAAAATCAAAGCTTTTCATCTAATCACGCCTAGAAAACTAACGTCCTGGGAACCAATCAGACCGAACAGGAACACGAACAGCGGAAACGAAAGGACATTAACGAGAAATTCCGAACCAGATGAAGCTGCAAAGGAGGAAACGACACAGACTTCCGAAATTCAATATACCTTCCGCGATGATCGAAGGCTCTCAACTACGACCAGAAAGATTATGTATTTGAAAGCGATTCAGCCTTCAAATACAAAAACCCGTACGTAAAAATGGATGATTTTTTTAGAGAAGAAAAAAAGGTAAAGAGAATCGGGATTTAGCGCCTCTGTTTTTTGGAACATCAGCAGCTACTCTGTCTTTTTCTTCTTCGCTTGTGCCATCGGAGATAGGACTCTGATAAGGGCGTGTTCGGTCATCTTCTTTCCCGGAAAACAAACAAAACTAGTCAACGACCTATTCTCCCGATCGCTTCTTTTCAGCCGTTGATCATGTTGACTTTTTGGATCTACCTCCATGTCCCTCATGTACCTGATTAGACCCCACGATGGTGTGAATGGAAAGTCGCGTGCAAACCACGTGGCACACATGTCGAGGAAGGAGAATGCTGGGCACTTATTTTGGGCCCGAAGGCCCACTAATGGCCCAATAATCTCTAAAGGGCCTAACGACATCTTGAAGCTGAAGCTGCTTGTACATTTGCAGAACATGTAATGTAATACATACGAAGTACAAACCATTGAAGATCAAGATCTGTTTCATATAGATTATGAAACATTCATTATGAACAAAAAACAATTATATATTTATATATAATATCTTCTTGATTTGCATTTTTATTCCCTCGTCATCACCTGTCTACTTCCTGCTG